GAGAAAACTGTATCCAATTATTCAGTTTCATTTTCTGTCCCTCTTTTTCAAGAGGGAGATTTTGGACTATATACTGACTACAAATCGTTGAAAGACAAGACTGAAAAACTCCACTGCTCATAAGCCTGTGAAGCATACATACATAATTGCACACGCTGTCACAGCAATGATTCTAGTTATTTCTGAGGAAACAGTATTTACAAGTGCAGGCCACCATTCTTTTAGCTAAGCAGAAACTTAAAAGGACAGTGCTATGGGGCAGACTCTATAAGAAATTCCCAGCACCCTGCTCTGCCTCCAGAACAGAGTAAGAGAACCTTTCAAGGTAGCTCTGTGCCCGCAGAAGACCCACAAAGTGGGGCTGGCAGTTTCATTAGACAAGATAAAAAACATGTCTTTCAACAGAGGCTTATTTACTTTAGAAAAGGAAAGGGAAAAAATCTAGATATATTTATAAAGGCAACAGGAACTATGAGCATCACAACGGAAATACTGAAATATACGAACAAAGAAATAGCTGAAAGCTGACAGAAGACCGTCTCCTCCCTTGAACAGCGAAAAACAAGCGCAACACAGAAGTAGCAAAAAGGCTTTAGTTACAGGTATGAGACACACAACAGAACTGTCACTTTTTGGTACATTATTTCATCCAAACATGTAGATAAAAATGCAAACAATTTAGTTTCGCCAAAACTTACCAAACTTCGATACTGTCCCTGAAAGAGTTTTGAAGTTCTACTGTGTAAAGACTGGGATCCAAGGGAGTCAAAGGATTTTATCCGATGAGATGAGGGTCGTGCACATACGGAATCACTTCCTAGCCCAATGTCTGAAAAGAGGGCAGTAAATATCAAATTTTAGAAATCACACACACCTCTCTCCACAATAAGGGCAAACTTGGCTGCCTAAGAAATCTCTAGGATTCATAGGTGCACAATACTTCTGAATAAAAATTTATCTAGCACACATCTGCCTAAAAATCAATTGAGTGCTTTGAGCTAGGCAAATTAGGTTTGTAAATCTGGACTCTGGGGGAAAAAGGGAGGACATCCAATCCGATGCTCCTAAACAGCCACCACAGCATACACGTTATCACCGATATCAACAAGAATTTGATTTAGTTACCCTTTTACTGTGGCGCTCAACTTCTACCCACAGGGCTCCCCACTGGTCTGGAAATTTGTTGATAGGAGAGCGGTGGCAATTAATCCTGTCATCATTCCCCCACTGCCAAATTCCCAAGCCCCAAAGGCCATCAGGCCCATAGACAGGACTGGACATAGACTGAAAGAAATTCACATATAATACTTGCCAGCATATGCACACCTGTTTGTTCTTCTTTCTTCCAGTCAATTAAAACTTTCCACTAGTTCTTTTTTCTACATCTGTCTCATCTTTTTTTTTCCTGTAAAGATGTAGTTTTTTCAACTGACCACCCTCACCTATTTCTCTTCCAAATGGTACAAACAATTAAAATCTTTCATCCCTGGGAATAGCACCACACACAACTTTTACAGTTTGCAGATGAACAGTATTTGATCACTATATGTTCCAGTTCCCTCAACCATTTGAGAGTTTTCCTAATATTTATCCCATATTAACAACCTAAAGTCTTTCAGAAAGTTCATAAATTTGGATAATACATCTCTGTAGAATTGCACAATAGCAGGGTTGGAAGGGATCACAGGAGGTCACCTGGTCAAGAGCACATTGTGACTTGTATATTGTTTTCCAGGTGCTTTTCTGTAGTACTGCAGCTTAGGCAGACATTCCCCATTCTGTGTTTGTACAAGTAATTGTTCCATCCCAAGTGCAGGACTCTGCATTTGTCCTTGCTGAATTTTACCTGGTTGACTGTAGACCATTTCTTCAGTCCATCCAGTTCATTCTGGAACCCAGAGCAGGATAGGGCAAAATACAGTCCATGGGCTAGGTCCAGTCCACCAACTGATTGTGTCTAGTCCACAGATGGGCAGCTGCCAACTCATGGAATCTGGCCCACAGGCAGCTGGCAGCTCCAGCCACCACACAGTGCTAGGCAGGCAGGCGGGACTATTTCCACTGCACCAGATGGGAGGGCAGGACTGCTTCTCCCCACTTCGGATGGCAGTGTCAGCTGTGGACCCAGTTGGTACTCCAATTCCCACCTGGAACCTGCTGGGTAGGTCCACAAGTGATGCCAGTGCCTGCCCACAGGTAAGCTGTGGACTGGTCCAGGGAAGAGGTGGCCCTCACAAAGGATACCAATACTCATTAAGTGGCACTCCAGACAAAACTGCTGACCCCTGCTCCAGAGTATCTACACTTCCACCTAGCTTGATGTTATCAGCAAATTTGCTGAGTGCGCATTTAACACCATCATCCCAATTGTTAATTAAAATATTTAGCAATGCCAGAGACTCAGGACAGACCCCTGGGGAACCCCACTTGATCCCTATTCCCAACTAGACATTGAGATATTGATGACTGGATCATCATTCTCAGCAAGCAATCAGTTGTATATCCACCTTACAGTACTTTAACTTAGTTTGTGTTTCCTTCGCTACTATTGAGAATGTTGTGAGACAGTGTTCAAAGCCTTGCTAAAGTCAAGATACATCACATCCACTGCTCTCTCCCTATCCACAGAGTCCGTCACCTTGTCATAGAAGGAAATCAAGTCTGTCAGGCATGACTTGCTCTTGATGAATCCATGCTGGTTGTTCCTAATCCAGTTCTAAGCACCTGGAGGCAAGTCCTTCTTGACCAGATTTTCCAGCTATCAAAGCCAGACTGACTGGTCTAATTCTCTAGATCCTCCTCCTTCCCTTTCTTAAAAGACACATACTATATTTGCCCTTTTCTAATCATCTAGGACCTCAACTAAACTCCTCCATGAGCTTCCAAAGACAATAGCTAATGGCTCCAAACTTACCTCGAGTAGTTACTTCAGTACTCCAATGTGAATCCCATCTGACCCTACTGACTTGAAAACATCCAGCTTCTCTAAATGATCCTAACCTGTTCTGCCACTGCTCTAGGCAGCTCATCTCATTCCCTGTACTTGCTATGAACTACACTTGTCATCTGATAGGAGACAAAATACATATGAAATCAGCCTTTTCAAAACCATCCATTAGAAGCTTGCATTCTGAGTTCAGTAAGGGACATACACTTCCCTTATTCCTCCTCTTAACTTCTGGCATATCTGTAGAAACCGTTTTTTATTGCCTTTTACATGCCTTGCCAGTGCCGTTTCAAATGACTTGCCTTCCTGATTTTCTCTCTGCAGATATTCTTATACTCTTCTCTAGTAATACAGCCAACTTTCCACTTTTTGTAGGACTCCTTGAGTTAACTCACTGGAGAGGTCTGTTTACCCAAGCCAAACTCCTGCTGCACTTGTATTCTTTCTTCTTGTTGGGATATTTTGCTTCTGCATCCTTAAGAAAAACTCTTTAAAGAGCGACAAGCTCTTTGGGATTCTTCCCCAACCCCAGATTTGCATCCCAAGGGATCGTACCCATCATAGTTTCATAGTTGGTAGGGTCAGAAAGGAACTGAGCAGATCATCAAGTCTGACCCCCTGCCATGGCAGGAAAGAGTACTGGGGTGAAACGACCCAGCAAGGTGTTCATCCAGCCTCCTTTTAAAGAGCCCCAGGGTAGGAGCCAGCACCACTTCTCTTGGAAGTTAGTTCCAAATCCTAGCTGCCCTGACAATGAAGTAGCACCTCCTGATATCTAGCCTGAATCTACCCTCTGTCAGCTTGTGACCGTTATTTCTAGTCACTCCTGGTAGTGCTCAGGGGAACAGGGACTCCCCCAGTGCCTGCTAGTCTCCTCTGACTAGTTTGTAACAGGCCACTAGATCTCCCCTCAGCCTTCTCTTGTGGAGGCTGAACAGGTTCAGGTCCCGTAGCCTCTCCTCGTAGGGCCTGCCCTGCTGACCCCTGATCATGTGAGTGGCCCTTCTCTGGACCCTCTCCATGTTGTCCACATCCCTCTTGAAGTGCGGCGCCCAGAACTGGATGCAGTACTCCAACTGTGGCCTAACCAGTGTCACATATAGGGGGAGGATCACCTCCTTGGACCTGCTTGAGATGCATCTGTGGATGCATGACAAGGTATGGTTGGCCTTCCTGACCGCATCCCCACACTGTTGGCCCATGTTCATTTTGGCATCAATAATGACTCCAAGATCCTTTTCTGCCTCTGTACTGATGAGAAGGGAGTTTCCTAGCCTGTAGGTATGCTGCTGGTTCTTCCAGTTTCCCAAAAACATTAAAGTCTGGTTTTCTGAAGTCAAACATCTTAATTCTGCTGCTCTCTTTGCTTCCACCCCCTTAAGATTTTGAGCAGTGTTATTTTTTGGTCATTGTCACCTCAGTTACCTTCCACCTTTATACTCTTTACCAGCTCCTCCCCGTTTGTCAGTTTCCCCACCTATTTTGTCTCTCCACCACCCATGCCAAAGTGCCCCATGAGAACCAGGTCCTACAATTTGGAAACTTGGATTAGTTGTGTAAAGAAAGCCTCATCCACTCTTTTTCTTCCTGGTTGGGTAGTCCAAGAACACGTGGACACTACACTTGCTGTTCTCCCCACTGACCCTAACCCAGAGCCTTTCAAAAGGCCTACCTACCACTTCATACTGCACTTCAACACAAGTACATCTCTCTTTTAGGTATAGACCAATATCACCCATCTTTTTTCTGCTGCGTGTCCTTCTTGAACAATTTACCATAGATACATGAATGTAAGTTGAGGTTCCCCCCCAAATCAACATGGGGGGCAAGGGAAAGCCCCTCGTCTTAGATTTGCATGCAACGTGGGATGGGGAGCAGACAACTGCTATAGCTCCAACTCTGGCCCTGAACCCAGGTCAGGGTCAAATCACACCCAAAACTTCCTCCACCCCATCCCCCAGGTTGTCCCCTGCAGCTTTTAACCCCCACTCTGCCCCCTTCCCCCCATTACTGTCAAGTACAGCTCAGTTCCAGCTTGGGCTGAATTCCCTCCCAGGCTCAGCAAGATTAGCAGCAATGTTGCTGCTGCATGGTCCAGCAAGGCCTGAGCTCTCAAGTGATGTGTTCCATGACCTGGGAGAAACCAGAGCCTGAGCAGCATCTGACAGTAAGAGGGGAGCAGGGGGAACAAGGCACCAACTGAGGTGGTACAGCAGAGACTAAAGCTGTGGGGAGTAGGGTGGGGGGAGGGATAAAGACTATGGGAAACTTGAGGTGAAGGGATGCAGGGGGAAAAAGTATGAGGTACATGGTAAACAGGCTGCCTGATGTCCCCTCCCCCTCAACTACTACTTTCCCTGCTGTAGCAGTAGAGGGGGGACAAATTTAAGACAACCCTCCAAAAATCAGATTCTACAACTGAAAAATTATAATAAATTTATTCGTCTTCCATATATAGAACCTAATTATTGGGGATTATCTTAAATTCAGGATCATCTTAGATTTGGGTAAATATGGTATACCTCCTCCATGGTGCTACACTAATATTATGAACTACATTATCAACTCTGTTATACCAATTACACAATTGCCTGATAGAATCAAAGAAAGTTAGGGTTGGAAGGGAACTCAAGAGGTTATCTAGTCCAGCCCCCTCTACTCATAGCAGAACCATCCCCAACTAGATCATCCCAGCCAAAGTTTTGTCTAGCTGGGTCTTGAAAACCTCCAAGGATGGATGGAGCTTCCACCACCTCTCTGGGTAAACTGTTCCAGTGTTTTACTACCCTCCTACTGAGAAAATTCTTCTTAAAATCTAACCTAAACTTCCCTTGCTGCAACTTGAGACTGTTGCTCCTTGTTCTGTCATCTGCCACCACTAT